AAATTATATTTGTATGCAAGTATTTCATATTATATTTATGTTAATAAGATAAAACTATATTTTTATTTCGTAAAAATTATGGTTTCCCTGGTGGTGAAATTGATAGGTTGTTTTTAAGTTACCTGTACTGACGGAATCGTAGAAATCTCCAATAAAATCCACCAATCGTACAATATTGTGGTGGCCTGTGTCTTTATAGTTACTTACGTCAAAAATATTTGATAGTTAAACGTATAAAGGAAATGTCTGGGTTATAAAACATCCTAATTCCTAGGTGAAGGTATAAATATATATATAAAAAAAAATAAAACGTGTTCATTTACAACTGCTATTTTTATAACGTTACAGTTTGTTTGAACGTTGACACATTTCGGCTGTCTGGACCGTAGCTAATACTATTAAAAATAGAAACCTGAACAAACATATTATTTACATAAGGATATTTCACCTTCACAATTATTATTTTTTCTAAACGACCAACTATAAAAACAAAAAATAACATCATGTAAAATAATATTCAACTACTTTACTTGGATATTAATTTATCGTCATTCKAGGTTGTACTCAATAATATATCATGAGTCATGATATTATCATTCTTAGTAGGTCCTACCTGTCTAATAATTATATTAAATTAGTTAATTATTATATATTTCATTATTTAAATATTTTGTGAAGTCAMMSCTCACCACACGTTAAGGTGTAACAGGGCTATTTAACAAATTTCCATTATAAATACTACTATATTTGTCAAATAGTACTGTACACCCTGTATTCTCTCCTCCAGCTCTTCGCATAACTAAGTATTTTCGTATTATTTGAATTTTTTCTGCCCCAATACTTGCATTTCCATTTATTTATTAAAATATACATAATGTAGTCTCAAAATTATTSTAGGTACTGCAAGGTGCTTAGGTATTAATATATTATTATTATATCTACCAATAAATCATAATTGAATAAATGTGCTGCAATTTCAATAAGCCTCTTACTTAGAATAGTAATGTCTGGATTATTAAATATTCCAGGAATAACACCTTGACACTGTTGTCTGTTATGTTTAATAGGTACCTAACGACGTATAACGCGTGCGTACATAATTAGTTTAAACTTGAGCATTTATTATTGTTTAGAACTGTTACTGGACGACTTGCAATCCACTCTTCCACGTAAAAACCATGGACTCAGTAAYACATCGTCAACTGGGTACAGAGAAGTTACTAAAAGTACATCAAGGACGATTGGTAACGGTCAAACAGAAACTAACAAGGAATATGAAATCCAATATCTCAATCCGGCCAACAAATCCACAATGCTCACAGAAAGATTACCCGATCTTCAATCGGTTGACTTACTGGTGGGAGTTAATTTATCAACGAACGCAATCATAATTGAATTATGGTGTCATATGTCTTWTAAAATAACTTATTATTAACATTTAATATTTCAGCGACAAACCAACAATGGAAAAAATTCCGGTTACGAAACGGTTTCGTCGTACCAGTATAATAAATCGACAGAAAGTATGTTGATTGTATTGTTTTAAATGTTTTAATTATATTTTTATTTAAATTACGTTTRTAACCAAATATTTATAATTTTTACCTATATTTAGGCAAAAATACAGTTCCCAGACAAGAAACGAACGGTGTTAACATGAGACAAAGTATTTCTGAACTCGATTCGTTATTAGACGATTTGAATCATGCTCAGAGAGTTGGATTTTCCAATTCCGGAGTTAATAGACACGAAATAACAACTAACGAATCCGGCATGTAAGTTAATTTAATTATTTTAATTATTCTAGATTTAATGCATTTGAAATTGAATATTCCATAACGCATGACCAATGMTCTAACTAAAGCATTTATGGKATGGCTGCAGCTGCATACGAGTAAGGCCACAAAATAAAAATGTTATACCTACTAGTTAAGTCCCGAATTTGTTTTGGTAATTTATCCAACTTGTGTCCTAGATTAAATGTTGAAACATAATTTTCATTTACTATTGCTATAATTTTATAAAGACAAAAAATAAAAGATTATTAAAAAGAAGGGCAAGAATAATTAAAATATGTGTTTATTTAATTAAATATTATTGTTTTTAATTACATCAAAATATACGATACAAATTATTTTGATACATTATGTATACAATGTAATATATTTATAATTTTTATTTATATATTGGTATGAGAATAAAGCTAAAGAAGTAAGTWATTATCTAACTGTAGAACAAAGCACGATCAATTGAGATGCATCTTATTTAATATATGTCGTATGTAAAACAAACATTTAAATATACATCAATGAAGRTGGTTAGTATGGAATTTCAAAGGTCTAGAAATGTGTTTTCAATGGAGCCCTAAATTYCTAGTTAGGCCACACTGTAATGAACAGTGTGAATTGTATATAGTACTTTAGTATATGCTTACCAAAAATCATTGAGGATTCATTTTGAGTAGTAGCTACCTAAAATAATCCATAACCGAACTTGTATATACGTACAATACCTGTAGTCTGTATTCTGTRAGTATCCCTAGCTTCAACCGTCAAGGCTCTAACTCTGGTGGTTTGAAAATCGCAAATCATATATTTAGACTACTAAACTTATAATATAAAGTAACACATTTTAGCACAACAACTATTTGAGCTTTATCACCTTAAAAAAAGGCTATAAAAGTGCAAAATACAATGATATAATTTAAGCTAATTATATTTTCATATTTATTTTAAGGTACTCTTAATTAAAATATCGATTTTTAAAATATTATGAATTAAAATGTAATTTATTGGCGGTTAATGGAAATTAATTATGTCAAAGTATATAAAGTGTTATAAACTATATGAACTAATTTTATTATTAGTTTTAACTGTTCTATTTTAAATAATACGTTACTATTTGACGTATATTGTTTAGCTATCAAATATTATTATAGGCATTTTTAATTTATATGAACAATTCCGTTGATAATATACTACTTTATCAGTTTACCTATACTAAATTTAAAACTTAATCATTTTTGTTACTCTTATTTTTTAACTTATTATTCAAATCGAATGGTTAAATATTTGTAAATTATAATTATAGATAATAAGTAATAACTTATAATTTATTTGCGCTTTAGGCATATGGGTTATTATAAAAAGGTAATTTTTTTTCACGTTTTTTCGGCTTAGTTATTAACTCATATTTTGTGGTTATCGACGATAGCTCCCAACTCGTATCTGTCCCAGCGAYATCGTCGTGAAAATGAACTATGGCTCATTGATTTCTACAATTTAACTTACCTATTTTTGTTGATCTATTAACAGTGAACCATTAAGGAGCAGTACGCCGTATAAACAGCAATATAGTAAACACGAAGAACATAGGTATGGAAGTCTTAACCGATCTAAAATKCCAGGGACCAGTGAAGTGGTTTCCACCTACGAAACGTCGACGACAAGCGGACAACCTTTAGGTGAAACATTTTGAACTGGAAATTAAAACCCCAGTAGGTATAGACATTATTGTGTGTGATACTCATGAATATTTCTATTTACAGATTTAGATTTGACCGATGCTCCTCGTAGTTATACTAAATTACTTCAAAAYCAAGGTCCGGGAACTTATCAGACCTCGGTTTATTCAAAAGAAACTACGAAAAAAATAATACCGGGYACCACAACTTATTCGACGTACCAAAAATTCGGTTCACCTACAACGGACCAAGGTCAATCTAAAGTGTATAACTATTCAGAAGAGTATCGTTCTGATAGTAGGAATCGTTCGTTGAGAGATTTGCCACCGTCTCCTCGTCCGCTTAGATCTTCATCTCCGCGTTCACCGTCACCGCACCGTTCGCCGTCACCCATGTCGTTTGCTCAACCACCAGAACCTAAAAACTATTCTAGTAGTCATACTTATACGAACAGAACAACGTCACCTCAGTCGGTCCAGAAGTTCAGTCCATCTGATCCAAGCAGAATCAAGTGAGTATTATACATTTAGTTTGCTATATAATATAAAATATTATTTCGTGGGATCGTAATGAGTGTGTATGTCGCAGCGAAGAGGTGACCTGGGTCGCTCATGCCACGCCCCCTGTAACCCGCCGTTTCCCCGTGAGGTTAGTAAAGCGTTTTGGAGGTTAATATTGTGATCGTACGTGAGGTTCATAGTTGTGTTCAGGGAATGTGACGTGAACACATAACTTGCTATTATAATAAATTACCTAATTATGCACAAATGTTTTTTTTTGTAGCGTGGATAATAACTTAACTTCACCGCCTGGCCAGACGGTTTACTCGTATAAATATTCAAGCGAGACCAGAGAGAACACAAAATATGGACAGCCAAATGGGTACACAAAACCTATACACCAAGAACAATTGCCACTACGCCATTCGCCGTTCCCAAGAGATGAAGCTGACACACCTGGGCTGCAGAATCCACCGAAACGGTTAGACGACTTAATGGCATCGTTTGGTGACAGAACAGATTACACCAACTACCACAGTAATAGAGAATACCACTCGAACGTCAAGGATTACCAGTCCAAGTCTAAAGATTATGAACACGACAAGGCAGCAGAATACACGATTCCGATTAAGAAACCACATCCGGATAATCTAGCTCCTGAAAGTAAAGGCCCTGAGAAATTGTCGGAAGTTAAAGAAACTGAAGTGACTCAGTCGGTCGCCGGGCCGCCAGTGTTTTATCCTCCCGGATCAACGACGTTTGTGAAGAAGGACGAAGTAATGCAACAGGTATWAGAACCGTTTTTAAAATCAAACATACTATRTATTATYGCTCAATCGGTTATATTTTTTTATTTATGTCTTACAGCAAGGTCAATTCGGTCAGGGACAAATGAAGGCCAAGGCCAAAGGAATGTACAAGTATAAAAGCAAAAGCAAATCAAAGGAAAAACAAAGTTCTGGAGCAACAATGGTGCCAGTATGTTTGCCAATGTGCTGTGCCATGCCATGTGTTATTATGTAACCTAAGACATTATATTTATATAACTTTACTAATTTATAATTATTTACTAGACATAAATAATAAAAATAAAAATAAATCTTATGATGGCCTGTTAAACTTAGTAGGTACCTATCCTAAAAGTAAAATTACTTAAATACATAAGTTATTTTATTTTAATAGGTCATAATAATAAAAACATTTTTAACAAGAAAAATTTAAACATGATATTSATTACAATAAATAGTATGACGGTTATTCTTACTAGTTAAAAGTTGTAATTTAAAATGTTGTCTTAATAGTTAATAATAAATTATCATCTGGTTACCTATAATCTTACTAAAATTTTATTTTATACTGAATAGATATTTGAATATTACTTATGAATTAATTGTTATAAATATGAATTTACCTGTATGTTTTCAACTTAAATACTTTTAACATACAACTAACCTTGCTGTAAGCTTATTTATTATTTGTTTTTAATTATTAATTATGTATTTTCTATGTCACAAATGGTTATTAATTTATGTAACTAGTAACTACCTATGTGTATATGTATAAATTGAACACAATTTACATGGTTATCTTTTAATTGGCCAAGTGAAAATAACAGATGTAAATTCTACAAGATAAAATTCACGTTTTTACATTTTGTTATTTTGATTACACATGTAACAATTAATGTTAATGTTTTTAGTATTGATAAATAACATACGGTTATTTTATAAAGTACCGTCATATTACTTATAAGTTCTAGAACCGCAAATTTAATAGTCTCGTGTCAAGTGTTCTGGTGTAAATTATGTATTATACGTAGGCCCTTAGGGACTTATTAATTATTAGGTATATAAAAAAAACATTCAACCATTACAGAGTTGAATAAAACACAGACCAAATTCACACTTACAAATTAGTATTCTAACAAACCATGACAGCCTACACACATTGTAATAATTAATGTTTATGACAATATTATTTTGGGTTCATAGTTTTTTTTTTTTTTTCAATAATACATATTTACATGACATAACAATAATGTATAATATTATTATATATTATACATTTATACATATCAAACGCATTAATTTTGTATATTTCTAATGATACTTCGAAGATTGTTATTTATTCATGTAATAACTTAGCGTGTAAACAATTATTTTTACGATTTGATCAAATTTTATTGAATTTTATTTTGACAAATGTTTCAGTTGTTTTGCACRCATGATTTGTACTTAAAAATTAATTTATGCTGTTGTAAAATTTTGTTAAAATTATTTTTATGTTGAATAATTGTTATATTACATAATCATACAAATTAAATCCACATTTTTGTTTTTATATGTATATTCAAAAATAAATAGGCATTGTGTATAAAATATCATGGACCAGTCATCGTTGGTATAGGCCGGTGAGATAGGCAGACACAGTTTCAGAAATGTTTAGCTGTATACCAACGAATATGCTTTGAAATTGAAGTGTTTAAACTTGAACAAAAGTTTTTCCAATTCACTTTTTTAGCATCTTTTAAAAAATGGGTAGTGGCTGTACAGCAATTTGTTTGCAACAAAAAATGTTTTGCGGAGAATGCTTCATAGAGTTTTCAATTATAGATTGTCTAGAGCCAGAAGAACTGTGGAAAATGCGTTTGGAATCGCAGCTAGTGTTTTTCGAGTTTTACGAAAACCTATAATGCTTAAACCAAATAACGCTGATCGTGTAATTTTTGCTATCACTTGCCTTCATAATTATTTACTTACTAAGAAAAACACTAGATCATTGTACACACCCTTTGGAAGCTTAGACCATGAAACTTCCGATGGTCAAATACTACCAGGTACATGAAGAGAAGAAGGGATGCCTACCACTAGTTTATTGAGTTTAAATAGAAATGGACCAAAAAATTTTAGTGCAACTGCAAAAGATGTTAGAAAAGAATTTATGAACGATTTTGTATCAGTTGATGGAGAACTACCATGGCAATACAACCGTTGTCTACTAAACCTGGAAACTATACCTTCAAGTTTGGCTTAGTGATAATAGTATTTCATCATGTATAAGTTAATAATGTACTTATTATTATTATCATTATTAACAATAAATATACAACAAACAGTCTTGTAATTTTATAAAATTTGTTGGTGAATTTTATAAGGTTTGGTATATTAGATTCTGAACGAAGTGATGAATGTATTGATTTTACAATGATGTGTGTGTTTTTTTTTTGTGTGTGTGTATGTTCCTCATAAGTTATTCTTATAGTCATTAAAAAATTATAAGAATACATAGGCACAATTTACTTTTATTAGCATTTGAAGTTCAAATATTGACAACAATTCGTCAAAACCATGAATTTTTTTTTGTGTTAGTCATTACGTTTTAGGGCAGAAAAAATGCTTCGACTTTTAACTTCAGTACCTTGTTAAATCAGAAAGTATATAAAATAATATTTTTTTAAATAATCGTATAAACAAACTAAACATTAAGGGAAAAACAGGAAATTTTCCATACAATCAGTTTTCGACAAAATCGATTTTGATTTTTGTTGTAACATTAAAACAAATGACCATTGATACATGAAATGTTCACTGAATGTTTATATAAGTATATTCTATCCACCATGAAATTTTTAAAAAATTTTAACTAAAGTTGAAATTTTTATAGKTATATGCAATTTTCAATCATTATTAGTTTTTTTTTATTAAAATCGATAAAAATTTATTTGTTGTAGAAAATCTTGAAAATTTAATACAAGGCTTTTAACATATTGTTACAGTAGCTGTTGAAAAATAAAATAAATTATACCTATTATATATAGTGTATATGAAACGATTGAACAAATAAAAAGCGGGCAAGTCGTGGATGTCACTCTGCTGTACAATAGGTTACAAGTGGGTTACTGTAATGGATGGAATTAAATTTGAATCCATTGATATTATATCATTGTATACGAAAAAYGATTCTGAACGGAGACGGTTTATCTGTCAAGGATATATTATAGATTATTAAAAAATATTAAATTTTCGATTTAAAGAGAAAATTTTTTAAGAATTTCTAGCATAAAATACGAATTTTCGTGATTTTTACGTATGTTGTCAAAATTCGAACTTTGAATACTTATAAAAAAAAATTGTGACTGTATATTTATTTTATTTTTCAACTGCTATTGTAAAAATATGTTAGGAGCTTTGACTACAATTTTTTTATATAAGCATTAAAAGTTTGAATTTTGACAAAATACGGAAAATCACAAATTATTTTATGCTAGAAATTCATAAAAAAATTTTCTTTTTTAAACTAAAATTTAATATAAGATTCCTTACAAGTTTTTCAATCTTCATCACAAAAAAAATGTCTTTTTTATTTTGTAGTTCAAAATTCATAATATTGTTTGTATTTTTATCTAAGGTTATAAAAAAATTATTACAGTTATATCCTATTTACAATATTATAATATAGCAACGGTACTTACTAAATTGCCTACAGTCTTTCTACCAACGTTGCCTTCAGTAGATAAAAATTTCAATGATTCGAAATATATCCATTTACTTTTGTACATTTCGTCTGCTCCTTGGCCTGTTCTAGTTATTTTTTCTTTCCTAGTTTCGCCAGCATGTTGGTTTCTTAAACCGTGTAACTTTCTTTGTATTTCACCTTCACTAGTGTTGAATGCACAGCTAATTGGCGAACAGCTTCTCCCCGAGCTAGTTTATCTTTATATTTTATATCTTTAGGATTCCACAAACAAGGATTGTTTTCATAATCAGAGATTAATTTGTATGTTTCGTCAATTGTCCATTTTTTTTTGAGGAAGACATAATATTAAGTTTTTAATATTTCGTTAAAAACTATACTTAAATAAATTTATTAATTTAAAAAGTGTAATTTTTTTTTTTTTCAGTGATATTAATTATTATTAATAAATAATTTAAATATTTAACACTAGACAAAACTGTACAACGTGACTGTCAACTGTTTTAATTCAACAAAAAAGCTGACAGTCGATTAATTCCACAGTCGACGGTTATTTCCTTATTTCGAACATGTTCAGACCGGCACAAGAATTGTCACGAGAGTTTTGTCGCGGAAATTAGGTAAGTGTACGACAGAAATGTAAACAATCGTTCACAGTTTACTGTCATACAGTTATTTCGTGAAAAAAATGTCATCGTGTGAATGAGGCTTATGGTACACCCGTATTTGATAACATTTTTTTTTCGATAGTATTTTTATTGAATTATTAACGATGAATAACAATATCATAATATACCAACTATATATAATAATGGAAGAAACACTGCCCTCTCAATTTTAAAATTTTTCTTTTTTATTTCAATTTTGTAGGTGGGGTACGTGTATACCATAGCTGCCACTACTTAGTAGCTATAATTAACAAGGCTGTGGATTTAAATTTAATGCATTTACATCAATTTTTTTTTTTTTGCTGAACCGTATTATAAAATGAATTTGGCCAAAATTTGTTTTGACTTATACATAATTCAAATACCAAATCTTATATTGCATATTTTTGCACATTTCTTGAGTTAGAGCATATAAATGYATGTTTTAATGATTGCCTTGTATMATTTTTTTTCGAAATATTTAAATACAATAATAATATTATACAACTTGTATAATATTATTATTGTATAATTTTTTTTCGAAATATTTAAATACAATAATAATATTATACAACTTGTATCAATTACATTTTTTCGGACGATAATTTGTTATACATTGACACTAAATATATTTGTATGAACTATGACTTCATGGAAACTATTTTATTTTTACTCAGGAATTTAGTATGTGTTATTGATTATAGTGCTGTAATTGAAATCGTGAAGGTACGCCCCTCCAAAATTACTAAAATAGGTTTGTGTAATTTTGGGATTTCGATTATTTTCGTGGTTCATTATAACTACTATTTAGAGTATTATAAATTTACGAAAAATAAAATAGTATAAATATACATGTATTGTTTTATTTTTCTTAGATACTATGGTATACCTTAACCTCATTAACCTTATATTTCAAATACTTTAAAATAATAACTTGATATTGTTTTTTTTTTKATCCAATTTTTTATTTTATATATTCCTGAAGG